AGTATCAACTAACTTGTCACACTAGCTGCAAGGCTGGGCTGGCAATGTCAGTTGTATCTGATTAAGTCAACTATTAGGGGGCAGCCCTATTGGATTTTAATTGTTGTAAATCTGAATTTTGGAGGAAAGGGGCACAATTACCAATTTTGTGGGGAAAGTTTAACTAATTACTGTTGGCAGGGATGATTAATATAATTTTTTTTTATTAGATTAGAGCATGATAATAGGTTGATTACCACTAAGGCCACTAATTTGAATTTTTGATACTTTGATGTTGCTGCTGTGAATGAATTGTCATTACTTTTGTAAAACTGTAATCCAATGGGCCGAAATGTAGTTTGAAAGGTATCCTGAATGAATTTGAGGCTATTTGAAGAAGTGTGTCACATTGTGCTCTTTGGCCTTTGAGGTCAGGTCATCATAATAAAGCGATTCACTGGCTGGGGCTGTTGTGCCTTTCTCCCCGGGCTTGGCTCAGTTTCTCATCAAAGGCTTCCTGCATTGAGCTCTGTGCCTACTGAGATCAGAGGGACGTGACCCATGTCTGAGTCAGGGTTACCTCCTGCTCCAACAGAGCTTTGGTCCATCCTGCCACTGCTTGCCCAAGGGCAGAACGTGCCCCGCTAAACTCTGGAAGTGCAAGAATTATGATCAACTTTGCACAGAGCCTTGGGGATGTCTGTAATGAAGGCCAGCATTGTGGCCTTCCTCGGGGGTGTAAGAGTCCAGGGTCAATCCCTAACCCAGATCATGACCTCTCCTAGGTTATCTTCTATTGGCAGCCAGAGTGGAGGTCAGATGCTCGGAGAGCTTCGTCATGAGTGGGCCGTTGAGAAATGCCATCGTTTGATTGAAGTCAGGGGGATCTTCTGATTAAAGGCTTATGTGAGCGAGAGTGAGTGTAGGGAGTGGGTGACCTCGTCTTAGCTCTTGGTCAGCAACATTTTGAGCTCCTCTTTTATGCTTTTTAGACGTTTCCTGTTATAACTGGCACAAAGAATATACACCCCTCATCTCTCTCACCCTGCACTTTCTCTTTGAAATGCTAACAGTACTCACAAGTCATTCTAATTACTGAAGCATAATTGTGCATTCACGTTTTGTCTGCTGAATACCACGCTGTTGAAATAAAACTCTTTAATATCCCCGTGTGCATTAAAAAAAGTTAGAGATCTGTTATTGTGGCAAAGAAAACTG